TTTGTCCAGTGCAAATGATGTCACACACAATACATTTATAGCACAGTTTCAAGGAGAGGGAAGTTTCCATTTTCCCCATTTAGAACAATGATAACTGTAATACACTCTGCAATTGAGCACACGAAGGCTTGATTGTGCAAATCACCACAACAAGTTCCTGATAGCAGACAGGACTGTCAACAATCCAAATCTTTTGTACGTGCTACCTTTCATTTTCAGGATAGGAAGTGCTGGGGGGATATAGCCCCTTATCATGTCTTTGAGACGTCTCAAAGCATTTCACAGAACATACTGTAAAGTGAATTGACTGTATATTTTGTGGATGAAACGCAGCAGCCAATTGCACACAGCAGTGTCCCACAAACAGTCGTGGATTGAGTGACCAAATTATTATTATTTTATTTTTTATTGAAGGTATTATTATCCCTGGAAAAGCATTCCACTAAATGTCTAACAACCGGGTTTCTACTTAGTGCTATGTAAACAGACGTGTCGAGTCAAGAAACTTGCCTAAGGTTTCGCCCTGCCCAGGAATCGAATCAAGATCCTCTCGTTTGCGAGGCAAGTGCTCTCACCACTGAGCTACAAGATGTTGACAGGGGGCACTGCATCAGGCAGTACTCAAGTGTTTGTTTTCTACAGTCACATCTGGGGTTGTTTCTCAGCTTCCACTTTGAGGTAAATGGAAACAGGAATCTTATTGTTCTTATACCGTCTTGTTTTCCTGTTAGAGCACCAAGCCAATTCTTAAACGAGTCCAGTGTCCTGGCCTTTACCCCACTTCTGGTATCCTATTCCAACTACTGATTACTCTCCATGAAAAGAAACATTTCTGATTTGTGTCCCAAAATTGTCTTGTGTATCTTTCACAAACTTGAACGCCACTCACCTGCATACCAAGGCCACAGATTAGTTTCCTTTCCCTTTCTGTGAAGGAAATATCTACACCTGCACTTAATTTCCACTTTTCCTCCAACAATTAGCATAGATTCACAAAATAATATGGGTTTTTCCTTTAGGAATCTCTGCAAAAAAAGCACTCATTCATTCATTTTGGGGAACTGAAAAGAAAATGTAATCAAGACTAGAATATTAAAAGGTATCATTGCAATCTAACAGTGTGAAATTCAGGGCCGTTGGTAAATAAAATCAAATTCCGTATTGCAAATTTGTCTCTCACATCCGATTGAGATCTGTTCAATTAGGCAGTTATGACTTCATTTCTTTTTGACTGAACAGTAGCCACCAAACAGAAAAAAAGTATCAGGAAAATATTACCATAAGCAACTAAAATCCAAAATCATATTGCTCTTGTCTCACCAAATACGACCTTATGCAAGAAACGAGAATACTAAACAAGTGGCTTTTTTAAAAAAAATCAAATCAACTGCCGCCAATTAATCTGACATAATATTCAACAAGCAAAGATAAGGACTAATGTGACCTATTTCTTGACTGTACCTTTGCCTTTCACCAAGCACTGAAATCTACTGAATAACCTGTCAACGTGAACCCTCTGTGTTCTGGGAAGACAATCTGCAGACACATACATCCATTTTCTTTTTAGACTCTTGTTTGATTTCACACAAAGAAATCAGTGTTTTCTTTCAATCACTTAATGTCTGCTTTATGCATTTTATTCTGTTGATGCTCATCGCTGAATTTTACAGAGTAGAAAAGAGCCTTTAGAACATACTGATGACTTGTCTTACAGATCTCACAAAATTAATGAGGAAATCAAAGGCCAAAATTGTTGAATTAACTGGATACTTTTACATCATTAAGTTTTCTTTAGTTTTTTGGGGGGATTGAGGGTGGAGAGAGAGAGAGAGAGAGAGAAAGTTCCCCATATCATCTGAAAGAGGGCGAGGGGTCTTACCAAACCACAAGTTGCATCTAGTGTGCATACAAAGCAATAATTTGCAAAATTGCAGCTGCTATGATTTGTCAAGAATAATGACTAAGGTGCATAGGGCCCTAATCTTCAGTATGAGGATAAGATTTAGTTGCACTTCATTATTAACACAATATTTCTGCACCAATTTTTTTTCAAATTACCTGACTTTAATATTGGTCTAAGATCCTCAATTAGACAACCGAGACCTCAGAAGTCTGAATTTAGAAAAGCCACAAAGTTCAGGAGAAAAGTGAGAAATATTCCTATAAATCTATTCTATTTTAAAAGTACTGATCTAGAAAAGGATTCCTGTTTTTCAAGGTACAGAAAAAAGGTACATTTAAGGCACCTGACATAAAGGCTACATAAAATGGATTTTTAAAATGAACAGAATTCTAATTACATGGGCAGCTAAACAGCTAAATAAATAAGTTTCAATACATTTTCAGTGCTCTTTGTACATTCAGGAATTAATGCAATTACAGAAAAAAAATCAATGCCCAAGTAATAGAAGGAACAAGCAAGCATCAAGACACGCCAATATTTGTCAATATTTTCCCCAAAATATTGTGGTCACCTTCATTTTCTAGAATTTGCAATAACAACATAGAATCATAAAAGAATCATAGAATCTTACAGCACAGCAGGAGGCTATTTTGCCCATTGCGTCTGTACCAATTCTTTGAAAGAGCTAGCCAATTAGTCCCCCATTCTTTCCCCATAGCCTTGAAATTAGTTTCTTTTTTATCCAATTCCTTTGAAAGTTATTATTGAATCTGCTTCCACTAACCTTTCAGGCAGTGGATTTCCAACAATAGCAACATGTGCTCCAATATACAGAAGCTACATTTAGATGATGCTTAGATGATGACTGACATAAATGGTGATTCCCAAGTGTGTGAGTAGCCTAAATGTTGGAAAAAGCGATGAATTGGACGCAAATTTTCGGAAACTTTCCTCTAAGCCTATATATCGGCATCAAATAGTACTCATTATTTACCTAATGCACATGTGAAGTTAAAAAGTTTGATGTTTCTAAACAAGGGACATCACAACTCATACACCCAATGAAATATATTTATATTGCATGTGATGAAATGTGAGACTGTGAGACAACACAACAACACTGGTTCAATGGATGTGCAGAAACAACTTGCATTTACACAGCGTCCTTCACACAGGGTATTGCCTCAGAGCCCTTAAACAAAGCAGTTAATGATTCTTGTTCAGCCGCTGGGGGAGGTGTTTGCAACCAGTGAAGGTAGAGGAGACATTCATTTGAAAAAATTGTTTTAGCTATTGTTATCTTGCTTATTATTTTAGAAAATAATATCTTGGGATACAGTGTATAGTTTGGAACAGAACATGTCAAGCGACTGCCAGGATGGTGAAAGGCAAACTGGATGGACCTTGGTCTTCTTTCGTCTAGCAAATTCTTATGTTCTTGCTGGACATCACAACATATCCACATCTAGCTTAGGTAATGATTAAATTGGCTTATCAAGTGTAAGAGTTTTCTGTCTGTCAAAAAACAAACACAAATTTCTGAACCATGACAGATGTGAAGGAAAGAGGGCTGTTGACGGGAAGATTTATCATACAAACAACTGAAATCGATTTGAGCTCATTTAAATATATTGAGCCATATTTACTTTTTCAGGGCAGGATCCATAATTTTTTAAAATGTAAAACTCAAATGAATAAACCTCAATCAAAATGAGTGAAACCTGACAAATGATGAGCGGAATTTGTGTTAAATGGGACAGAGAAAGTAAAACCAAAAGAATGTAAAGAAATGCTGTTACAAAGTGGTCTCCTGAGTCCAATAAATCATGAACTGCGATATAAGTGAGGTTGAGGTGCTGAACAACACTTTCAGGTTAGCGCTATACTGCCAGCCTTGCATTGTTGCCTCTGAGTCAGAAGGTTGTGGGTTCAAGATCTGGAATGCATTGCCTGAAAGGGTGGTGGAAGCCGATTCGAATAACAACTTTCAAGAGAGAAGTAGGTAGATATTTGGGGAGAACAAATTTGCAGGGCAATGGGGAGAGCGGGATTAATTTGGACAGCTCTTTCAAAGAGCTTGCATAGACACAATAGGCTGAATGGCCTCTTTCTGGGCAGTATAATTCTATACCCCAAAAGCATATTTTTATAGCATGTTGTGGTATAATGCAAGTTCTGATAGAGTCCGTCCGACTACATATAAAAGTAGTGCCAGTCAGCAACAAGCAAATAAATGATTTTTCAATAGGTTTTACTCACTTTTCCCTTTCTTATGAGTTTTCTGCTACATAGATTCAGGCTATGATTGCTGGAGACCTTGAACTCAATCCACCAATATTGCTCTAATCCTTTCCTGGAATATTCACTGCAGGGAATTACTAACATATTATTCCATACTTATATGAATATTTCTAACCTCACTTATATTATCACTGTTGACAAAGCTTTGCCATGGAGCTTCTACAAACAAGGTAAAAAGTCAAACATTGTTTTGATAATAATACTTGCATTTGATATAGAATTTTACTTTGTTTTACTCAGAAAGTAGTCTTCCATGGCAATATCTGTGGGAAACACAAGACTTCTTGTACTAAAATAGATGCCAGGTGTAGGCAATCTACCAAGTGATACTGACAAAACTCAAACTGTTAACAACACCCGTCGTGAAACTATATATCTCCATTCTGTGTCCAGCATCACTACATTGCTCACATTTGCCGTGATCTGCAGACGAGTAAAACCTTGAATAATGGAGCCACAAATAGCTGAAACATGCACTCCATTTGAAAACTACATGTGATGCCAGTGCATTATTGTTCAGTCAGGTAAAGTGCGAGACTGATAAGAGTCCAGCTTTACAATAAACATTGTGAAGAAATCAGCAGCAATTATTGGAGAGTTGTTATGTGGAACTGCACCATCTTCAGCAGGAAGGGAAAGTGGTGCAGAGTCAATATGCTTTGGGTCCAAGAGACACCACGTTAAAAATAAGGGAACTTATACATTAGTGCTCGTTGCTTTGGGCGTATTGAATTGGCCTACATTTGAATAAGAATGAGTATGTAATAGAAATGGGCTAAGGATTATTGAAATTTACCTTGTAGTTCTCCACTCTTGCTGTAGAGCTCCCGCCTCTGTTCGCGCAGGTATGCACTCATACTAATTGCATGTGAGGACGACTCAAACCTGTAATTTAATACACACACTCAATGAAAACAGTTCTTAAGCACTAATAGAATAGCTCCTCTGACTGCATGAGGTTATCAGTAGGTGCGTGTGTTCAATATATGATTTAAATAAGCATAAGAAGACAGGAAAAGGAGTACACCATCCAGCCCGTCGAACCTGCTCCTATATTTTATTATATCACTTTTGATCTGCAACTTTGTACCATTTCCCTATTCTTTCACCATATTCCTCGATACCCGGGCCTACCAAATATTTATCTACCTCAGGTCAGGGCGAAACGTTGGGCATGTTTCCTTACTCCACACGCCTCTGTTTACCTAGCAGTCAGTAGGAACCCGCTTGTTGGTCGATTGGCGGATCACTTTTCCAGGGGTAATAATCCCTTCAAAAAAATAGTAATAATAATAATTTGGTAGCTCAATTCATGTCTGTTTGTGGGATACTGCTGTGCGCAATTGGCTCCCGCGTTTCACCCACAAAATACAGTCGATTCACTTTACAATATATCCTGTGAAGCGCTTTGAGATGTCTCAAAGACGTGATAAGGCGCTATATCAAATGCAAGTATTATTATTATTCAACTGAACCAGCATCCCACAACTTTTTAGGCTAGCGGATTCCACATTTCCACTACCCTTTATTAAAAAAATTCTGATTGGAGTTAGCTCTAATTTTAACTTTGTCTTCTAATACAAATGTAATTTTGTTGTCATTGTTGTTAATCAGGATGTTTCTACCAGAGGAAAATGTTTCTATCTACTTTGTCAAATCCTTTCATAATTTTAAACACCTCAATCAGATCGCCTCTCACTATTCTTAGCTCAAGGGAATATAATCCATTCGCCTAACCTTTCCTCATAATTTAGCCCCTTCAGCTCAGGTATCATTCTGGTGAATCTGCACTGTACACTCTCCAACACCAATATATATTTCTTGAGGTGTGGTGTTCTAAATTGAACACAATACTCCAGAAGAGGTCTGATCAAGGTCCTGTACAACTGAAACTTTATACATTTTTCTCAACAGTAAAGGGAAAAAAACACTCCAAAAAGTATTTTCAATATGAGGAACAGAAAAAAAGATATCACTTAAGACCCTTTATATTGGTTAAGAAAAAGTACTTTTTTCCTTTAGGGGCGATCTTGAGCATATTTGCACTTCTCTTCTCCCATGCAGCACAATAATATTCCTTTGTGAGATCTGATATTTGAAATAATGATCAAAACACTATCAATGCCCTAAACCATAAAGTCCAAATTATATTACTTTCTTTTATATCTTGTTCAGCAGATATGGATTATTGCGCTCTTGAAATTTATATCAATGGCCTGTAAAATATCATGTTGTCAGAGTTAACAACCTGATTTGGGTTGTAGGGTGAATGAAACAAGCTCATGTTTTCATTACACCAAACAAGCTTTAAAAAAACTCGAAGACTATTTGAAGTAAAAAAATGTCTGTAACCACTGTGTGGAACACCATCCAAAGAACCTTCTTGAAGCCTTTATATATGTGTATATATACTCTTTGTACAATTCAGTAGCGACAGCATGCATTTTTTATGGCTCTTCAAAAGAGAAAATCTCCTGGCATCTATTGAACAAGTCATACAACACCAGATTAAGAACACCTAGATAAAACAAATAATTTTTTTTGCGGTTGGGGGCTTAAAAGTATGGTCCAATTTGTGCAATTCGTAAATGGCATAAAGACATCGAAAAATAGAGACATCACATAAAACAGCATCTCTGCAAAATGCCTTTAGCTCGGCCATATTCTTTCCTCTTCTTTCCATTTCCCACATCAGCTATCACAGCTGAATTGTTGCTAGTTTTAAGGCTTTTATTTCTGGAACCCCGAGACTGAATCTATCCTATACTGATTACTGAGTGACCAATTTATTTTAAAAAGTAATTATTGCCCCAGGAAAATAATCTGCCAATCAACTAACAACCGGGTTCCTACTTACTGCTAGGTAAACAGAAGCGTGTGGAGTAAAGAAACTTGTCCAAGACATCTCAAAGCTTTTCACATAGCTAACTGGGAGCCTGAGCTGGGGTTTGGGGACAAGATGAAAAGGGTGGCAACCTTTGATTTCAGTAGAAATGGGAAAGACACATCCATTTTAATATTTCCTTGAAACTATTCAGTGTTTATTTAAAAAGTTCTTTCCCACGATTATTTTTTAATTTCTTTCTTTCATTTTCAAACATGATAATCTATAAATGATCTTATTGAAAATAAGGATATTTTTGTTATTGCTTCTAGCAAATATTTATGTAATGATTTATGTAATCCTTGCATTTTGATATAGCGCTTTTCATGTCTTATCGACGTCTCAAAGCGCTTCACAGAAGAGACTGTAAAGTGAATTGACTGTATATTTGTGGGCGAAATGCAGCAACCAATTGCGCACAGCAGTGTCCCACAAACAGTCATGGATTGAAAATGACCAATTCATTATTGTTTTTTGGAGGGATTATTATTAGACGTGTGGAGTAAAGAAACTCACCCAAAGTTTCGCCCTGCCCGGAATTGAACCCAGGTGTCTCGCTTGCAAGGCGAGTGCTCTAACCACTGAGCTGCAGGACTCCACTTTGTTACAGGTAGTGGTTGGAGAAGAATTGATTGGAGGCATTTAAATAGGTAATTAGATAAGCACATTAAGACGAAGGGTATTTGACGGTTTAGAGAAAGATCAGGGAATTGGAGTTATAATAGATGGCTTTGTTAGAGGACTTAACCTCAACACTAACACAACCTGGCTCAGTTGGAGGCACTTTCACCTATATTTCAGATTCAAGCCCCCTGTTGAGAATTTGAACTCATAGTCTGACTCTGCAATGTAGTGCTGGGGGTGGGGGGGCAGTGCATTATCAGAGTTGCTGTCCTTTGGATGAGATGTTAGATTGAGGTCTGCAGTTCAAACAGATGTTGAAGATTCACTGCACAATTTGAAAAGAGAAAGGCGTTTCTCCAGGTGTTCTCCAAATCAAATCGGTCATTCACTTCATGGATATTCGTGGGATATTGCTGGACTCAAATTAGCTACCATGTTCTCTACAGTTACTACATTTTATAGTAAATCTTTGAAATGAAAGGCACTGTACCAAATACAAGCAAGGGATGCACTCTGCACGTGAAAGGTGCTATAACAAATGTATTTATTAATTAAGGACTGTTATTTTAAGGGTCGAATGGACACCTCCTGCAGTTTTCTAGGTTTCCATCATAGGAAAACAGTCGGCTTATCTGCCTGCTCCAACATTTATTACATTATGGCAGATCATTTATTCTCATTTACCCTGCCTTTTTCCCATAAACTCCCACATTTTGCTCCCATCAGTGCTACAATATAGAATCTAATGAAATAATAGTCAAATGCATCATGTGTCCCCTCGTCAATTACATATACCACTCCACCAACGTGCCAGAAAGCCCATGTTTATTAGAAGAAAAAGGGGCTTCCAAAATTCTTTTCATTTGAAACTACAACACTTCTAAGAATGGCATGACCATTTCTCTTCAAAAATAGCAACAGAATGGACACATTATTCTTACTTAAAGAGGGACATTTTGGGTCTCTGAGGTCTCTTTTTGGCAAAGAAGGCAGCAAAATCACTCCCAGAACTGGCGTAGCTGAGCTGTGATGAAGGTTCTGAGGCAGTCCGGGTGTTCTTCACGTCTAAGTATTCTGTCAACAGCAGCTGTAAGAGAAGAACATTAAAAGAAAGCATTACAGAAAGCAGGCACACTATATTAACTGGGTGACATATCTGTGGGAAATAAGTCAATATCATTTCTGTCATTTATGGTCTTGTTTCTGCACGAGTCCTTGCAACATACTGCTCCTTACCAGGGGGGAATAAAAACTATCGCAAGTGCTTATACATTATGTTGTACGGAAAGGTATATGGCCTGCAACTGTCAAGACATTCGTTTGTTAAGGAGGGTTGCATTCTTTCATTTTCTGCAATGTGGGAACAATATTGAGCTGATCTGTATCTATTCCAGCGCTGATCAACATTCACTAGAACGATGATCATTGCTGCAACACTGCAATGATATTCGTAGGACATCATCAGGCACATGAGCTTCCTGACATAAATGAGCATGTTTTAATAAGGGGAGGAAAGGCATCAATAAAGGAAAGGAAGCACTAAAGTAGATAAAACCAACTACGTTCATAATCCAGTTAATCTAACAATCCTTATAAATATAAATGTGAGATCCTGAATGCTATGATAGAGTAGGCGATGAACAGCTTTTGAAAAAAGAGAGAAATGGGGTGAGGCAGAGGGATTTTGAAAGAGGTTGATGGCTCACCACCTGGCTTGTTGGGAGGAGCACAAATTGTATGTGTGTGTGTGGGGGGAGAGTAAGCAGGAGATAAGAGGGTAGTGTGGAGCATGGCCATGAAACCACTGGAGGATGGGGGAGCCAGTGGAGACAGGGGGGCAAAGGGCTCAAAATTTGGGAGGGCAAAGGGCTGTTTGTTTATGAGGCGGCACACATTTTGGAGGGCAATGTGCAGGGATGGGATTTGTGGGGGAGACGGAGGAAGGAAAGTCAAGAAAGGTAGCGATAGGGTCGAGTGAAGGATGGTTCATTTCTGGGAGTGGGATGAAGAGCTATTGTGGCATGAAAGAGGGATGGGGCAGGTGGGATTGCTGCTCTGAGGCAGCCTGTGGCAGGTAGGAGGTATTCAGTAAACCTGACGATAACTGAGGTGATGTTGCAGTTCACGATCCCACATAGTAGTGTTTGGGGGAATGGTTTTACACGTTTTATAGCATTTGAATTGTAACAGTACAGACACACCATAGTATCACAAGCTATCAATTTGTAGACATCTACAATCTCATCAGGGAGACCAAAAAGCTCTCTGTTTTGTCCCAGTAAACTTGATCATTCTGAGAAGTTTCTGCTCCACTGAATCTGTTGCAAACTTGATATCCATGACTGACCCCGAGACTCCTACATTCCCAGCCACATTATCAAATTATGTGTGTACATTCTGTAATATGGAGACCACAAACACAGGATTGGCTCTACTCTAGTCCTAATGGAGAATTGTTTTTCCATCCCACTAATTGATAAATGTGACTTAATACACACAGCACAAATGTAGTGGGGGGGAGGGAAGAGAGAGAATGTATTTCATTTATTTTCTCGGTTTCAAATTGAATTGACTTGGCTGTGACTTTACTCATTGGAGGCTCACTATTGCATCTTTTTGAACAATTCAGAGATGAAATGAGACCTTCATCCAGCCTTAGCCAGGTATCACAGGGAGCAGATCAGTGTTCAAACCAATTGCATCAACAGTACTGTGTATTGTTGAAGACATTTACATTTTATGTATTTTTTTCCACTCTTATGGAATAGAGCCAAGAGAGAGAACCAATTGCTGAAACTATCAAATAACATTTGGACGACTGAGTCCTTTCAGACCTCGAGGGATTGAAAGGTTCAATTTAAAATAATAATATTCCCTGGGTTTGATATTGCGTCTTATCGTGTCTTCGAGATGTCTCAAAGCACTTCACAGAATATACAGTATATTCTGTGAAGATACAGATACACCCTATATTTTGTGGGCGAAATGTGGTAGCCAATTGTAAATTGTAAAAATGTAAAGAACGGTATTAAATGGGTCCAGCGGTATAAGATGGATATTGCTTTCAACTCCTGAATCCAGCTAGTTGGAACCTGAGCTGGAATTTCTGTTGTCAATGCATTTATAATTCCTCTGCACTACCCTCCTGCCAAGCTAAAGATATTAAATTGGTGTCAATTTGGCAAGAGTCAGGATGGAATGATCCTTTGAAACTCAACTGAACAATAATGGTTCTTTGTACTTGTTCACAGAATTCCTCAATTAAATTAATAGTAGCACAACACCATTTGTTTGTAAGGATTGCTGTCAATGATGAAGTTAAAATAACTTTCTATCTTCCATCATAGTAAATTACACATGACAATGAAAGCTTTTTGCCGCCTTCTCCACTTTGTACCAATTTACATTAAAGCACAGGATGCAGATGGAAAATCACCATTTTTCTCTGTACATCATCTCATTTTAAATTCAAACACGACAAAAGAAAACAATGACGAGTGTCAAGTCTAACAGCCAAACCAGTAAATCGTAAATTACTGGTAAGATCGAGGCGTCTGATTTAAGATGATAAACATCAGTTGCCATGGCTTCATTGTGTGGAGATTCGATGAAATACACCTGACAGCACTTGAGCTTTTGAATTGATGTATAGAAATCTTGGCAGTGACACACTTATATGGAGCCCTGAAATCTTGAGACACTTCTCTTTTGTCAGAATTAACATCCTGAAACAGAATGTTCTATACATTAAGCCATTTGATTCGCTGTGAATATTCAACATGGAATTCTCTCCCCCAAAAGGTCGTGGATTCACATCTTCAAGAGTGAGCTTGATAGATTTTTGGTAGGTCAGGGTATTAAGAGATATGGGGAGAAAGCGGGAAATTGGAATTGAAAGAATTACTTGAGGTACAGATCAGCCATGATCTAATTAAATGGTGGAACAGGCTCAAAGGGCTGAATGGCCGCCTCCTGTTCCGACATTCCTACAAAACATCTCGCGTTTGCAAGTTCCAACTGAAAACAAATATCATCAAAAAGCTTTGTGTTGGCAAAAAAAGACTTGTACAACAGCAACGTAAAGTACAGCATGTTTTTGCCTGTTAAACCAAGATGTGTGCATGGGTAAAATTGATAAAGTTGGTACAGTATTTGGAAATAGGGAAATATGCAGCAATGATAGAAGCAGACAAATAGCATTCACTGTATTCAATTTATGTTATCAGAATGTGAGAGAATTGCAATTGATATGATAATTTTACTCTAATACGACATTGCTTCAGTGAAAGCATGGCAATTCAGTGGCGAAATGGATGGGTAGAATAACAAAAGGTGCGGGTTCATGTCTGTGATTCCACAACATGATGAGTTCCCAATATAATTTTACACTGGGCATCAAGGAAGAAGCATTCAAGTGGATGTGACGTGCTTCTTTCAAAGATGGAACGGAAAAACTATTGCGCATTTTTATTTTGGCACTTTGCTTGAAATGTGTTCAAGTGCTAAGCTATTTTGAATAAGGTCAGTCACATCTTTTTTGTGCTTCACTTTTTTGTTTAGAGTTAACAGAAGAGTTACAATAGTTTGCCAGAAAGAAACACATCAGTTAAATTCAATTATAAGGGCTAAGTTTTCAAATCAAAGGGATCCTTCATTGCGCCATGGTTCTCTGACCAGCAAGGTTTAGATCAATGATACTTCAAAAGAATTTTAGGCGGTTGGAAAGATAAATTGTCATCACTCTTCTGAAATTTTAAACACTATAAAATAAAAGAAAGGCAAAATCATGATAAATGCTAACACATTTACAGATGTCCAGACCATAAATTACATTTAAGAGCATTCAAATATTACTAAGGGACTGCTATGTCAAAACCTGGGTGGCAAACTTTGTAATAATTACTGAAAAGGGCATTGGGAGGGCATGGAAAAAGTCCACAAAATATACAGTCAACTCACTTTATGGTATATTCTGTGAAGAGCTTTGAGACGTCTCGAAGACGTGATAAGGCGCTGTATCAAATACAAGGATTATTATATATCTGAAGCACATACCTTTTGCAATGGAAGCAACAAGGGGAAAAAGTGTTCACTTATTACGTTGAATCTGATGAACGCAATCTGGTGGCTGAAGGTTTACTTAGGTTTAAAGAAAAGTATAGACAGCATCTTAAACCAAATATGGCCAGATTCCATTTTGTTTTATTGTATTGAAATTTTGTATTGTGTATAGATAAAAATTGCATTAAATTCGGTGATGTGGAATTGCTGTGGATCAAGAACTGCTAAATTAATGTAATCTGATGGTTAGTTTGAGAACAGTCAATGTGTTTCGCCAAATGCTAGAAAAATTAACAGGCTTCCATTGAATTCAACCTTCCTTGGTTATTTTAGCCTCAACCATCATTTCTGGATTTTGATGAATAAAACAAGAAAATAATACCATTGATTTAATGTGCAAATTCCTTATAGCTAAGGTTGGCAGAAATCATTATTTATTGTTTTTTTTGTAGGATAGTGAACAATTTTTTTCAATTAATTTTTTCGATTTTTACCATACAGACTTGCTAGACACGAAACTGAGACAAATCAACAAATCAAAATGATTTACCCATATGTATTTCCTGGATAAAACCACACATTTCCAATATTCTTGGCTGAGTAACTTTTTAGGATTTTAGACTTCTCCTCCTCCCCTTGATCACCTTTGACCCCACTCCACGTTATATGTTCTGAAACATTTTGAGACATCCTCCCGATAAGAAAGGCTCTATATCACGTACAAAGATTATCATTTCAATGCTCTGCTCACTGGACTCCCCAGCTCCTCCTTACACAGTCTGCAAACCATCCAGAACTCTGCAGTTAGTGTCCTCTTCTGCACCGGGCTCCACCAGCCCATCATTCCCATTCTTACTTGGCTCTACTCTTCCCCACACCACTTCATCAAATTCACTTTCATGGCTTCGTCCCTCCCTACTTCTCCGACCTCCTGTAATTGTGGTGCCTAGCTGCTTTCTTTGCTCAGCAAACTCCAACCTGTTTCATGCCTTCCACTCATCTGCTCCATCCCTGCTAGAAGAACTTTCAGCCATTCTGTCCACATTCTCTTAGAACTCTATCCTGCAGTCCCTCCGTGTTGCCCCTTCCCTCCCCGCATTCAAAACCCACCTTAAGACCGGTTTTTTCAACTGCGCTTTCAGCCACCTTCCCCCTTACCCGTTCCTGCCAGCTCGGACTCCCATTCGTTGTGCAAAGTGCTTTGAGATATCCTCCTTATGTGAAAGGCGCTATATGAACGTAAATTGTTGTTACCGATTTACAATGCAATGAAAAATTACATTTGTATAGTGCTTTTCACGTTGGGAGGAATTATATCAAATCCAGGCAAAACTGCTAATAGAAAAAGTTCTATCAACAATGATCGATTCCCAATGGATTAAAATCAGTTTTGAGGGGTTGTCCTTGAATTGGGACAATCAATTATCAGACATTGTATGCAATATACAGTTGAAATTGGCAACTAGGTTCATAGGTCATTCAGAGATCACAATTGGTTCCCAACCATAACCTGATGGCATGATTCCTCAGTACTGACACATGACTATTAATCCTTCCTCTTTAGATTTAAAACAATCCTTCTGAATTGTGTAAACTAGAAACAAAATGTGCTATAAACCTGCATGATTATTACTACCTTGCTCCCAGTTACTTCTGAACACTTTCTGAAATTTAAATTGGCAGGCAACCTGTTTAACCATGTCTGAATGAGTGCTGACAATTCCCCCTTCACCTGCACCCACAAGGAACTGTGTGATTTATCTGCTTATTGACCTGCAAAGAGCTTTTTTGAATTTGCTGGTGATTAGATGTCACAAAATTAATAAGTTGGGTGTTGCACAGTGTCAGAACAGAACAGTCAAGGTAATGATTTCTTATTTAAAAAACAACAGCCAACATTTTGTGTCACCAACTTTAAAGGTCAAAATTGTCATAAACTCCGAAGAAAAAAAAGAGTGTGATGGATTATTGATGAGAGACTGGAAAGCAAAATAACAATGACATTTAGTGCAAGGCAAACCAATTAAAGCTTGTGCTTATTGAGAGTCTGCTCAATCCTTTGTGAGAATCAAAAAAATTCCCTAAGGTCACAAAATAAAAATAAATTAAAATAAACTATTTCTAATAATGATAATAATCCTTGCATTTAACATAGCGCCTTTCACGACTTCTAGATGTCTCAAACCACTTTACAGAATATACTGACTGTATATTTGTGGGCGTAATGTAATTCCTACCTTATAAAATGCAAGGTACTGTTACAACAAACTCCCAAATAAATTATTCATTCATTTCATGGCTGTTTGTGGAACATTGCTGTATGAAAATTGGCCGCTGCCAGCCCACAAGATACAGTCACTACACTTCATAGTATAATCTGTGAAAAAACTTCCAGACATCCTCCTGACAAGAAAGACGTAATATCAAAGAAAGTTTTTTTTTAAAAAAGTTCTTCTTTGTAGTATAAATTCAGTTTAAAACATGGTTACAGTGTGGATTCCATTCATTGCCACTGCAGGCCAATCCCCTTGTTTCCCAGGTCACGTACTGCTTTTGTGTTAAAATGGCTAACTACCAGGTCATTCGGTCTTTTTACAATAATAATAATCCTTGCATTTGAGACGTCTAAAAGCGCTTCTTTTCACAGACGATTATCAGAACATGGAATGCTTTGCTACCCTTAGGCTATTGAAACTGTGGCGATATCAATATTTGAAAGGGAATAGGATAAACATTTAAAAATTATATATAAATAGTTTAGAAAAAGACCAGGGAAATAAAATGTAGAAATTAGTTCCAGTGACTGAGCCAGCACCTGCTTTGACCCAATTGTTGATCTGCATCCTCCTTAGCCTTGATTTCTATGATTCTGAAGTAGTCCAGATTTGAGCCAATCAGTTAATCTGGCACTCAAGTAAAATCCATGGGGAGTGCAGTCTTATGGCAAGTACTGTTGAGACATGAAACTGGAGTTACACTTGTCTGTTTTCAAGTGGGCATTAAAGATCCCATGACATTATTTGAACAGAGAGTTTCGGCCAATGAACTGGCCAAAAACCCTTCAGATAAATTGGTTATTCACCTCATGGCTGCTTGTGTGAACTGGCTAGTGCTAATGACTCCCACGTTTACCTACAAAAACAATCACTGCACTTGACAGTAATAATTTGTGAAGCGCTATATGATGTTTTGATGGGATATGATGCTATAAAAATGTAAATGCTTATTTTAATTATCATTCTTTTTTCGAATTTTCAAATGATTTGTCATCAATTGACTTTTCATTGGCGTGTCAATCCTGAGAAAGATTGTGCAGGATGTGTGGCTGGAGACGGCATAAACAACCTGAAACATGTCTATTGCAGCAGGCAAATCCTTATACCATGGCTCATTTGATTCCAGTTTCTGTGCACAGAACACAATCTTCCCTCTCCTGAATTTCAGACAGGTCTTCAGTCTGATGCCAAACCTTTACTCTTTTCAGTAACCCTCCAGTAATGGAGAAGTCTGGTCTGATATGGTGAGCAAGTCGCAAGGTTATTAATAAAATATTACAAACTGACAAGGTGAACTGACCTGTAGGCTGTGCAGGCATGACGGCTCTCAAAAGGACTGAAATATTTGCCCAGGCACAGCGAATGCTGCTGAATGTCTGGCACAAACCAACATTTTAAGGCCCTATTGCTTCTTTCAATAATCAAACCATAAATCAAAAAAGTGTTACATTTATGGATGGATCCCCAATCTGCTTACTCACTTCTCCTGGATTGAAATTTCCTAACAGTATAAAAGACGGGAAGAAATTAGTTTAAATAATAAATGTTGGGGAAATTCCCACAAATTCCATTGTTTGTCCCCTACAAACTACCTAACTCCTTCCTAACCCCCTCTCAATGGTCCCCCTCCCCACTAACCCCCCATCAGTGCCCTGGTTCATAAAGCCCTTCAAAATGTCCGCTGCATTTCAAACAAATCTCTCATTATCTGCAACCTTATCCTGGATGCCTGGATGAACACATTGATGTACTTGGGCTAACAGAAACCTGGCTGTCCCTCAGTGGCCCTCTCCTTTGTCCAAGTTTCCCCCACCCCAACTCCTCCAGTTCATCTGGCCCATCTGCTCCCACTATAGGCAGTATATGTTATGTTTCTGGACGGGAAACACAAAAATATTGCTTATGAGACCACAGACGTTTCTCAAATAGGGTATCCAGCCCTTTGCAGCCAAAAGGTTGGCCCATCCTGGTCTATAGGCCCCCAAACCACTTGGCTGCTTCCTCACAGACATCTCCTCCCTCCTCATATCCCTCTGCCTCTGTAATGAGCGCCTCTTCATAATGGAAATCTTCAACCTATACCTCAACTGCTGCTCCATGTCCTCAAAATTCTCGAAGCTCAAGCTGCGGGTTGGATTTGGGAGGGATGGGAGCCAAGAGAGGGGTTGGGGGAGGGATGAGGAGGAAAGGTGACCAAAGGCACAACAACTTACATTTATATAGTGCCCCTCACGCAGGGTAGAGTTTTAGAGCGCTTAACGAGGGAAGTCTTCAGACAGATCTTGAAGAAGATGAGGGAAGGGGAGAGGCGAAGGGATTCCAGGATGGAATGCTACAGTTTTAAGTTCAATAATTTCTTGATGAATAAATAGCAGTTCAATTGGGATGCTATCTTACCTGGAGTACATCCTGGATCCTTGCCCACACCTCTGCCATATCATACAGTTTAATCTCGCTCTCATTCAAACCAGAAGGCAGAACAACCATTTGATGCAGAAAGCTGAGAACGATCTTATGAGCTGCAGCTACGGCATAGAACTTTTCAAACAGCAATTCAAGTAGCTCCAATAATAACCTAGGATTAACATAGAAACAAAAATCAACGTCTGCTGAACAGCTATGCAGTAAGAAACATGGCTACTGCATACAGCTATCTACAACTAATATAATAGTGCTTTCAAGTAAAAGGTCCTCTCTAAGCTCTTAACTATTTCATGGTGAACACAAAACATGGAAATAAGTGATATAAAGATGCTGATCAACAGGATTGTCAAAGAGACTTTTTTAATGATTATTTAAGCTGATAATTAATTTATTATTAAATATTATTTAATAATAATTGTTACATTTGTTAAATGTGCGCAAGCTGATGCTCCCCCAAATTGATAATGCTTAAAACAGTGTTTTGTGTTACTTTTTTTTTAAAAAATGTGAATATTTGGGGTTCTTATTATTAAGGAGATGTCTCACACAGAAAATCTTACTATTCTTAATCATATTCAATAGTTAAAATATGCAATTTTTAAAAGAATATGAATGAAGAGGAATGTGCACATTTGTACAATTTTAAGCGCTATTTCAAGCAGGCAGCAGATTTAGAAAAGAAGTCATTAACTGAGGAACTCTTGACTGAACACGATGAACAGGGCAGGGTGATGTGAATGATAGCTTAGCTATTGAAACTAGATAGCTCAATGCTCCCTCAGCGATAAAACACCACTTGAACAGCAACTCCAGAAAATGAATGAATAATTATTTTTTATTGCAAGTTTAGTGCAAAGTGTTCTAGAACTCTGTCCTATCAACATCTTAAATTAAACACACTGATGGAATAGGTTTTCTCTATGTACCTTTCTCACTACATAAATTTGGCAGTTTAGTTAATGCTGAACCATGGGCAGTTTCTCAGAAATATCGCAAGAGATGGGCTCATGTGGGAAACAAGAATGTTACACTGGTACAAATGGGAAATGTGCTTAAGGCACAATGTAAAGACAGTGTAGAGGGCACTATTAACCACCTAAGGCAGTGTTCTACTTAAATAATACAGGAAAATGCCAGATTATTCATCTTGACAAATCTACAATTCAACACTGCACACTTTTGCCCTCCACCTAAAGATATCTATCTCTATTATATATAGTCTTGTTCACAATGAGATGTTTATTTAGATCACGTCAAAGGAATTAATCAATAAAAGATGAAGTCTTCTGCTGGGAATTCTATGAATGCACAACTATCTGCAGATAATACTTCTAACTTCTGATATTACTTAAAATCTATTAATTTTAAAATTGTGTCCTCCAGTTTTTCATTCAATGTTTAGTCCAAATATCCCAGCCACATCTGCATCAATCAGCACTATTTAAAACCTAGATCATGCTTCCTCTCCACAATACTCTTTTCACCAGTGAGAACACGTTTAGCTCTATGAGTTGATCGTCACAATGCAAAGCCCAAAGTCCTCAATAATTCTAGTCATTCTTCACTAAATGTCAAAATCCTTATAAAAGTAAGAATGCCAAAAGAGCACATGGTACCGTAAATATATCTTCACCATAAAGCTAATTTTGAATCCTGGGTTGCAACTTGTGAGTTTGGAGTCAAAAGACGATCTAAGATCACACGTGTAATAGTAATTTACAATTCTTTACAAGTACATTGGCTCAAAATGAGATAAAATGTTTGCCAGATTTTAGAGAAGGTAGACATGCATGGTTCTGGGACCTTGGGCTCCAACTTATGAAGAGACTTGATTTTATGATGAGACTTTTCTTGGGAGAAAAGTAAATTATTGAGTACGAGAATCATTCAATGCTTGAAAATACTGAGAAAATGCTAGCAAGCTAATTGACATCTGACATCCAAGGCACTATGGGTTATTGTCTTAGAGCGTTAAGTGTCCAGTTACAGAAAGGGAATGGCAATATCCTGGCACCAGGGCACTTTTCCTTTGAATGAAGAGGGGGAAATCAATGCTTAATATATAATTTAGGCCACTGTGAGCACACAATAGTGCTGAGAGATTAGATTAGTGAGGGAAGTGAACACACTTGGAAAACATACTAATAGGCTTCATCAGCCAAAACTGCCCCCAAGGTATGAATCGCTGCAGCTGCAGAAAGAGGAAAGCTTTCACCTCAGGAACTTCGGGTATTCAAGTTATCCAATGGGCTGGTAATTACCTCTCCGGAGTATTACTCATCAGCTTCAAAAATTGGGAGTCTTGTTCATGTAGCCAGCAGGTACCAGGCTGTCTATAATTTGGGCACAACTCACAATTTTTGCTGGAAACAAACCAACCAAAAATGCGAGCTTCCTCATTCAGGAGAAAAAAAATCATGAGTACGCTAAAGACTGTGCAAGACTCAGTTGCCACTGTAATGGAATATCTGATTAACGCTCAGGAAGGCAGGTTAGGTCACAGGAACTGCATATTTTATTAGATTTCTTTGTACTAGTCATATTAATCATCTTCTAACTCGTATCGCCGCTCCCCTATCTTCCATTACTCCTGCACTTACTGGGAAATAATGTCCTGACCCATCCAAGCATGAATACTTACCGGCCGGCTGCATTGAATCACAAGAAATAATAATAATAATCCATGCATTTGATAGAGTGTCTTATTACATCTTCGAGACATCTCAAAACACTTCACAGTATATACTATAAAGTGAATTAACTGTATATTTTGTGGGTGAAACGGGGCAGCCAATTGCGCACAGCAGCGTCCCACAAACAGTCATACAAACAAATAGTCTTGATCTATCGCTGCATGTGCAGAGCAACTTTATTTCGACGAATTCAATGCATATTTCAATGCAGCCGATAAGTGTGCATACAGCAACAGGTCAAAACTACATTTCCGGTGTCAATGCAGCTGAATGCACACTTACGGACTGCATTGAAGTATGCATGCGCAGAACAGATTATTGATTCAATAGGATTTTGGACAATTTATACAAGTTTGCCTGTATCTTGCACTTCACCCAAGTCATAATAAATGTTATGTTCCCGACTGATACGACGTATGTGAGTTTTACTGTATAGAGAACATTGATAAATTGAATTCAGTAAATGCACAGAACATTTCATGAGCTATTAACAAGTCAAAGCACTTTATCATGCTACTTGCAATTGACTTTCCAGGAAAAAAAAAGTTGCATTTAATTTCTGAATTACTTGAGAATTGGTTGAAATAAAAGCTGTGGTATTCTCATTTGCCTTGTTAACGTCAGCAACACAGAAACTGTACAAGCAGAAGCTCGTGCACATGCTCGTGTTTAACAGATGCAAGTCACATTTTTTTCTTCCAGCTGCATTTCTTTCTCAATCTCAGCACCAAACATCACAGGAAAATGGCCATTCTTCAGATGTGAACCCAGATATTACAGAGGAGTTTGATCCTGTCCACATCAGAAATGCACGTACGCATATTTTCCAGTAAGATTCACTGAATAGCCATCGGGAGTAGGAATCCTGGTTATTTTTTTCCTCTCTGAGCAGAAGTTGTTGCTGCCAATTGTACAGTTTCAACTACTTCAAGTTAAAAACTGTTCAGTCAGCACTTAGCAGGATTTGACCCCATTACTTTCTGGCCTGAACTGAGTAGTGCTTTTATCTTCAGTGAAGCTCTGCTTCCTTCCGTTTAATAAACTCAGGGCTTTAAATAGAGCATGTAAATTTGGTCAAAAAATCACTACTATATAGGTTTATATATCACAATTTCAGCAATGACTCATCAATCTGAGTGTTTTAATTTCTAATATCTGATTTTTCTTTCCCCAACAAATGAAGCACCGTTACCTGGGTTGATTCTCCTGTGAAAGGACTTCTCCCCGTTGATAAGCATTGTCTGCAACCTGGGTTGTTGACCGTTTCATAATTTGCTTCAGTTCTTGATTGAAACGCTCCTTGATGGCTTTAATTGTCTCTGGGATCTTCTTCAGCTTTACCAAGGCCTTTATCAGGATTCCCATGAAAAGAATACTGTTCTCCTCTGGCTCGCAGTCTAGATCCTCCTTTATATCTCTCAGATTTATCTCTTTCACTGTTAGACAACAAAAAAACAATTAGCTCGTTCAAAATGATCACACTTAAACTTAATACTCATGTATTCCTTTACAGTCACTGAGGCCTTTCAGTCTCAAGATGTTTGGAACACTGATTTATAACATTGTGAAACGAACAGAAGAATACAACACATCTAGAAAAATGACAAGAATATAAATAAGTGGGAATAAAACTGGACAGAGTGATGAAAAAGTACAAAACAAATGTTTGTTAATTTTAGCGGGATGAAAAGAAAGAGGAGGCAAACTATATCCATTCAAACACCCGAGAAAACATTCTCATCAGCTTTGAACATTGACACAAAACAAATAAGTTCTCTCCTCACAGCCCAACTGTTGCAATTTAGTGTTTGTCCATGGCTTGATTTGTCATTGTGTCAGCCAGGCTCAGTTGATATCACTCTCGCCTCTGAGTCAGAAAGTTGTGGCACGAAGACTTACATTGGGATTTGGAACTCACAGTTTAGGCTGGTACTCCAACACAGTCCTGGAGAAACTCGTCAGAGGTGCCATCCTTCACATGAGACCCAGGTCCCATTTGCCTGTTCAGGTGGATATTAAAGATCCCACGGCACCATTCGAAAACAAAAGTGAATGTCTCCAAGTGCATTAGCCAACAATCTCCCAGATAAAATTGGTCATTCACTTTATGCAGCTCATTAATGTGAGCAAATTGGATGCCATGTTTGCCTTCAAATATAGTCATAACACTTCACAGTAATTCCTATGACGTGCTTTGAGATGAACTCCAAACATGAAAATATGCTGTATATCAAATGCAAGTATTATTACTATTATTCATATTTGAAAATCTGTTTATGCGAGATACAACACATTTGAATTTAAGAATTACCTTACATCAAAGCTATTTCATATAAAGAGTGATTTCTGGTACAATAATCAACCTTTTCTCAAGGAAGGATTGTAAAGAACTTTATAATAATAATAATAATCCTTGCATTTGATATAGCGCTTTTCACGTCGGGAGGACGTCCCAAAGCGCTTCACAGAACACACTGTAAAGTGAATTGACTGTATATTTGTGGGCGAACGCGGCAGCCAATTGCGCACAGCAATGTCCCACAAACAGTCGTAGATTGAAAATGACCAATTTATTATTGTTTTGTTTTGGAGGGATTATTATTAGGCTCTGTGTGGAGTAAGGAAACTTGCCCAAGGTTTCGCCCTCTGCCTGGAATTGAACTCAGGTGTCTCGCTTGCAAAGCGAGTGCTCTAACCACTGAGCTACAGGACTCCACTTTGAATGTTATTTCAAATGGTGTCAGTCCTCACTAATGTAAGTGAGCCAATTATGCTCTGGAAATTTAAACAATAAACTGATGTTCTGCTGAGGAAATCTTCTATAAAGTTACCAATTTCGCTGTTGCTCTTTGATGTGAAGGGAATATTATGAATATTAATCCAGGTTTTCATTCTTTCAATTGAAAATATCTTCCATTCACACAGACAAAGGAAACTTACAGGTATGGATGTGCTCCAGGGAAGAAAGTAGGGGTGTGTTTTTAACTGTTCTTGTGTGGCTGCTCCAGAATTTCACTTTGTTGTAAAGTTTTAAAACTTGATTCCAGTACAAACCTGATTTATGCTGCAAGGAATCAATTCCATTCCTGAATCTACCTTCTGAGATAGTTTCGTGAACGGGGCTGAGAATTCACTCAATGATTTATATCAATGCACCTTAACATTGACTTGATGTGAAAACAGCACTGAATTCTTGCAAACTGAAGCAGAAAATAGAATACTGCATTCAGATTATGTTCAAGTACAATTTATAAAGGTTATGATAGACGTAGACCTAAGGCTGCAGAAAAACACCTGATTCAAGTTGCCCACAAACAGAAAATAGGGAGAAAATTAAGTTCTGATAAGTTGATTGTTTTTCCTATTCCACTTGCAAGGATTTCAGTAAAGTGTAATGGTAGGCAATGTGAAACTTTCCCACTGAGACCATTCAACTTTGGTAAAAATCACAGATTGTAAAATTTCTTCACTCTATCTGCGTCTCCATTGGCAACAACAATTACATTTGTATAGCGCCTTTCACATCGGGAGGATGTCCCAAGGCACTGGATAGACAGAGTTATGGACCTGAGCTGAGGGTCAGAGTGAAGAAGGGTGGAGGGCAAGGGGGGAAGCAGGGAGATCGAAAGCACGGTCGAAGAGGAGGGTCTTGAGGTGAGTCTTGAAGTTTGTGAGGGAGGGAGCGAGACAGAGGGACTGCGGGATGGAGTTCCAGAGGGTGGGTGCAGAGTGGCAGAATGCCCACCTACTGATAGTGAAGCAGGCAGGAGCCCGCTGAGCGGAGGGCGCGGTGGTAGGGGATTAGGAGGTCGGAGAGGTAGGGGGGAGCAAGACTATGGAGGGCTTTGAAGGTGAGGACCAGGATCTTGAACTGTATCCTCTGTGTGATGGGAAGCCAGTGGAGTTGGGCGAGGATGGGGGTGATAGGATCGAAGAGCCTAGTGCGGGAGAGGACACGGGCTGCAGAGTTCTGGATGATCTGCAGCCTGTGGAGGGGGGAGATGGAGAGGCCAACAAGCAGGGACTTTGCGTAGTCGAGCCTCGATGTATGAAGATGTGTGATGAGGGTTTCGGCGGCCTGCGGCGTGAGACAGTGTCGGAGCCGGGCGACGTTGCAGAGGTGGGGGAAGGCAGAGTGGGTCATGGTGCAGACGTGGAGTAGAAAGGATAGTTGAGGGTCAAACAAGACCCCAAGCTTTCGGACTGGCTTAGCAAGGTGGAGTATTCAACCATGGATGGTGATGCTGTCAGCGTCTGAGGTAAGGAGGCGCTGATGGGAGCCAATCAGGAGAGCCTCGGTCTTGTTGGCAGGTGGGCTTTCAGCCATTCTGCCCCTTCCTGCTCTCTGCAACTCCATGCCAAGTCCTTTGACTCACTACCTCCGACCCTCCGTCCCGTCTACTTCTCAAAACATAGGTCTTTGTCCGCACTTTCGATCATCTTTCCCATCTCCACCTCTTATCCCCAGCTTGAATGCCTATAAATATGTTTTGGGATGTCGTCTCAACATGAAAGTTCACTACGTAAATCATATTGTATTAACAGACCAAGAGAAAAAATGCAAGCTTCAGATGAGGGAAGGATTACTGATCGAACAACAAGCTTTTCATTGATTCCTACCGAGAAATGCAAGAGGTACTTGAAGAGAGCCTCCCCCAGATAAGGAGCATCGTTCAAATACTGGACAAATTTGGGCTTGAAGGGAAAACTAATTATCGGCACAAAAAGACACATGCTGGAGTGAGTAATTGCTGCTTGAATATATTCCCTGGACCTACCTCCTCATCTGCTTCAGTTCTAAATGTTATAGGGAGCAGTGTACACCTGCAGCGATTTCATTTAATTTCAGAGCTATGCTTTCTGTACTGTCCTGACAACCCTAGGCACAGAATATGCATCAATTCCCAGCCAGTATTACAGTTTTGTGGGGTCAGGTGTTTCTAAGTAGCTCTCAAACCTGTACAAAGCACCTGCCCACAGAACACTAAATGAAGTTACTGTGAAACACAAAGGTTCTCCCATAACCTAAGTCGGATGAACTGCCTATCAGCTGGGAAGGCTGATCCTAGGCAATAAAGCAATGATACCATTCTAAACCGCTATAATGATTCACTACATTATCTCTCCTTGCGTATGTCTTGGCATAAATGGCTAACTTGCATTTTTGGGGGCTTTACATTTTAACAGAACACTCCTCTGCTCCTCTAGCAGTGTGGGTCGCAAAGCAACACATTCTTGAAGACAAATTAAACAGTTACAGTATTCCATACTAGCCAACACAGCACAATAGTAATTATATTTCTTACCAATTGTGCTTTGTTAAGATGCTTAACTCACAAATCACTGATTACTATACCGGTCATGCCCACAAGAACTGTCTCGTTTATTCAGCAGTTTTAAGCGTTAGTGTGCTCCACAGCATTTAAACACAAAGATAGCACTATTAGAAAAATGATGCTGGATTCGCAGGTTATTTGCTGTGTTGAATGGCTTGGTAATAGCTTTGGCTATTCGAAACACAAGCTGTTATCGTAATGCTTTCACTTTCCCAATGGAGCGGAAATTTCTCTTTTGAGCCAATGACCACTGTAGATATTTCTTCCTTTATTGCTATTGGAATACTTTAAAATGGAGGTGAAATGCCAGGTTTTTTGAGCTCAACGCAAGTCCAAAACAAATCTTCAGGGTTTATATTTATTTTCCACGACAATGGTCGACTACAATGCAGACCAAGGCTGTCAAAGTCTTGACATTTAATCAATAGACATAAATCACTTAGGTTATTAACTGAAAGATATGTCTCTGCTGACCAAATCTCAACAGATTACTCCGAACAAATGGAGAAGTGAAGCTAATCTTATCTAAAGCACTAGCGTGCCATTTTAATGCAGCTGATTTTTATAAAGCATTAACACGTTGACTCTTGATTTTCTTTGTATTTTACTGGGCCCATTTCCTTCCGATTGCTTTTGTAATCTCCTGATTAAAAGGTATTGTATGCCTTTAGATAAGCCTAAATGATTAGACGCAAGCCAACAATTCCATATTTTAAGGGGGACCTATCAAAGGTTTTCTCTGTTTGCCTAGCAGAAAGGTTTTTCCACTATCATCAAGTCAGTACAAGACCACATAAATCGAGAATTATCACCAGAAGATAGGGTGAATTTAGAAGGTAATAGACTAGTTAGAATGTGGAATGCAATGCCACAAATAACTGTTCAACCTGAGTCTGTAACAGTAACAAAGAAGACTGAATAAATGTTAAAGGCTATTGCGAAATAGCAGATGAATAGGTTTTAGAGTTTATCACTCCAGAGGTAATGTAAGCACCACAAGAGGGCTTCATGGATATTTTCAAGGTTGCAAACATTCAATGTTTCTATAATACAAGGTGCTTTGCTTTGCACCTTGTATTATAAGGGCGAAAACCTTGGTAGAACATATTCGATAATGGGCTTTAAAACCACATTGAAGACAGACTGGGGCTTTGAAGTTTGGCTTCTCACAGCGGATTTCCATACTTGACCACAGGAGCAAAAGACTTGGTGCATACCTAAAAACCTTTAAACTGTTTTTTGAAATACTAAATACTGTTTTTCCACCAGAAATCTTATGAAGGTCAAACAGTAAAAAAAAATTCTCCCCGAATTCAAGTACAAATTTTGAATTCTCCGAACGTTTGGGGGAATTCTGGGATTTACTTGCATTGGTTTCATGACGATTGACTTCATTGATGCTGTAAATGTGTCACTGGACCCAAGTTTGACACCAGAATTGATCGCTTTTGTTGCCAGCGATTTGTGAAAGAGCTATTTCTGTTACTTTACTGCTTTGAATGGATATTTTAGATTCACACGCTTAATTAGAACACTAGATTTTCACACATGTATCATTATTACAATCTACCAGCCAAATCTGCTGTGTTGATGTGTTCTTTAGTGAGTCTGATTCAACAGTAATCGTCAAGAAACCATGAAATGTAAAAGTTCTCAATATTCCATTTGCTGGGCTGCCTAATTCCATTCCATTTTTTTCAAAAAACATTTATTTTTTTGACAATCACCTATAAATATCCTGGCTTATTGACTGCATATTTTGTGGGAGAAATGCAACAGCCAATTGCGTTGCGCACAGCAGTATCCCACACACAGTCGTGGATTGAGCGACCAAATTATTATTTATTTCATTTTTTTGGAAAGGATTATTACCTCCGGAAAACTATCCGCCAATTGACGAACAACCAAGTTCCTACTTAGTAAGGAAACTTGCCTAAAGTTTTGCCCCGCTCAGGAATCGAACGTGCCCTCGCTTGCGAAGCGAGTGCTTTAACCACTACGCTACAGGACTCCACGTCTAAATATTTCAAAATGTCACTTAAAAGTTTAAAGGGACACAATTTTTACTGTGGCAATAAAGCACTAGCCTAGATGAATATAAAAATTAAACGACAATTTAATTTCTGAATTTAACTTTTATTTTACCTCATTAAAAATATTTCAGATACAAAATCGCTCTCCAGTCTGTCCCTAGGTACACTCCATCTTTCCAAGAACTAACTAGCTAGAAGGAACCAACATTTGGAAAAAGTATACTGAATAACTATCACATCTTCCCACCCACTTTGTGGAGTGTACTTAACATCAGAGTCAATTATTTTTGTCCCCCTGGAGCCTTCATAATCATAATTACTAAACTGCTACAGTAACAACAAATGCTCAGCCTATTATACATAACGCCTTAAGGAAAAGAGAACAAGATATCACTCACAGTAACGTATCAACAAAAGTACTGTTCAACTTTTTTTTTGCCCACAAAATATAGTCAATTCACCTTACAATATTATCTGTGAAGCGCTTTGAAACGTCTCAATGGCGTGATAAGGCACTCCATCAAATGCAAGGATTGAATGATTATTTCATCTATCATTTAAAGGAGATAGTCATAGAGATGGGTTAACTTTAGAGACTGATAGAAAGTGAAAAACTCAGATGGAGAAAAATGGAGTGAAAGAAGGGGAGGGAGACAGAAAAGGGCTGGCACAGAGTCTCATCGCGTGTGAGTAATCGGTTCTCTCCTGACGTTCACTCACTTGGGTGAAACTGATCCAATTCATAACCAAAAGATTTGGCAGTTTACCAACCATTGTATCTTTCTATAATCCTGGTGGGGATAGATTCTAAACTCCATTTTAAAACAAGACTGCACCGTATTTCTATTTCACTTCCTGCCTCCTGGTTGTGAGACATTGAGCAAGTTGAGAAGTTGCACCAACAAAGAAAATGGTGTTCAAAGTCACTGCTATTCCAGCTTCCAGAGATTATATATAGATTCATTTACCATCACTCCGGTGCTCAATGATGCACATTATACCCTTGAATGCAACCTTGAGTAAGACATTAGTAAGGAATTTGTAAGTTTATGGTTCTCCTACAATATATCAACCCCACTTCCATTGGCCTTCTTTCCAGGACTTTTCAATTAGAATTGGGTCTGCTCCACTTACAAACACAAATTAGTAATAAACCATTTTGTATAAGTACACTTTCTTACAGCAGAAATGTTCAAGTTCCAAACTGTGGAGATAAATTTGGATTCATCCCCATCTGCTATCCACCCTACTTCACGTAAAATTGTCATGACTTTCCCCCAAACCTAGATTTTATTTCTCAGAATTAGATTTCTTTTCATATGTAGTCGTCTTGGTCCTAAAAGCAAAATTGAAACATCATTCAGTTTATTCATCAGTGTGTAGAAGTAACCAATATACTCACCAGCTGTGTTCCCTGAGGTAATATACTGGGAACTATCCATAAGTTTCCTGGGGGTTGATACCAAAGTGGTAACGTCAATAAATGGCACTGGAGATGTGTCCTTGCCGAGCTGAGGGCTGTCAGAAAAAGAAGTGTCAATTCTTTCCTCGTCCACAAACAGAAACTAGCTTAACCCTGATGTAGCTTTCATCAACAAACATGAATAGAATATTTCTTGTATCAATGCTTTGGTAGCTGAGTTGCCATCGTGTCCAACAGAGATCAAAATCTTAATCAGTGGAGGAATCAAAATCATAGTAATAGGGTCATTGTGGTTGTTGTTGGCAGCTCAGGCTTGTGGCCAGAAGGGGTCAGAATCATACACAGATCAATTGCTGAATTCCAGTAACGGTCACTGGAGATTGACATCCGACTACTTCAGTGGAACCAGATGTCAAATTAGCACTAAGAAGAAGGACATCAAAGTTGATTTGAGCTGTATCACACTCTACAACTATCACAAATGATTTTTTGAACAAGATCACCAAGAAATAATATAACACCCTCCAATTTAGGTTCTGAGAAATATTGATTGATGTGCAGTTTCATGGCTGTTATTTATATTACCACCCCTAAAGAATGACACATATATGTATCATGCTTTATTATTTTGCCTTTCCCTGGGAATCATTACTAAATAAGCACAATTTTTTTTTATAAAAACAATATCTACGGCTTGGTTCAAGACACTAATGGTGAATTTCTATAGTTCCTTACGCCTGAACAATGTATATTAACTCAATAATGCCAGCAAAATTGCATATACAACAACGACAAATTACATTTGCATAGTGTCTTTCATGTCAGGACGTCCCAATCATTTATTTTATAGCTCGCTTTACTACTCTTGTTAACGGACTTCTCTTAGTTCTTAAAAATAATCCTTACATTTGATATAGCGCCTTATCACGTCTTCGAGATGTCTCAAAGCACTTCATGGAATATATTTTGTAAAGGGGATTGATAGTATATTTTGTGAGTGAAATTGCAGGCACTAATTGCAGCATGTGCTTTGTTAAAGTTAAGCAGTTCCTGCATATTTGGCTCCAAGGGTTTGAAGAAATAAAAATAAGGGATCCTTTTTAACCATGATACAATTTACTTTTTATTACTAAATGGATCTAGAACAATTACAGCAAGAATTAAGAGTCTGTTATTATATTTATTTAGACTGATCATTGTATTCCTATATTTGTTCCATGGAAGTCTTACTTCTCACTACAAAGTATATCTTGGCTAACGAGTAGCCTTCTTCCAAAAGCTCTGCAAATGCTACTCTTAAATTTCTCCACTAGAAGGAGCACCAGAGCAGGTCAGGGCAGATCTTTGCTTTGATTCCCACTGTCTTGGTAAGGAAGTCTGGCCTCAATATCATTGCAGCCATGCTTGTTCCAAATGAGGATAACGACGTCCTTCTTTTGAGTGCTCAGTGCCAAAAGGGTTAGCATTTAGAAAACCCAATGACCAAAATGTTTCAAAATGAATACCTCTGTTCAATAAGAAATTATTAAAAGTTTAGATAGAATCTAAGAAAGAAGTTTTACATTAATATAGTGACAATTTGATGTAAACAAAAAGCACTTTCCCAACTCCATTGCTGGCAGAACAAGTACACTTTAAAACCAATTGCATCAATACTCTTTCTTTCACATCATGGTTGTCATAGTGCTTCTCTCTGCTCAGGTTATTATTGAAATTTGCTTAAAAGCAAGATACAATCAAAAATTTAATAGCTGGATGGTAATATGTAAGTAAATGTTCTAAAAACAGGTTTATAAATAGAACTGTAAGAAGGAATCCAGTTGTTAGTCGAAGCATAATAATCCTTTCAAAATTTTTTTTTAAAAAAATAATAATTTGGTCAATCCACATCTGCTGTGGGACACTGGTGTGCAATTGGCTGCGAAGTTTCTCCTACAAAGTATGCAGTCAATTCACTTTACAGTATATTCTATAAAGCGCTTTGAAACATCTCAAAGACATGATAAGGTGCTGCATCAAATGCGAGGATTATTATAACTGCTTATAAATTTTCAAATTTCAAATTTTCAATAAAAATGTCTCCTGTCAAACATTGGATTTGAAGATTTCTGGAAATGTACTGAAATAAAGCTCAACCCATCTCCAAGTTTAAAAAGACAATGTTTCTGCTGGTACTTCAATGCTCGCTGCCAGTTCACACTGACCCAATTCTGTTTTTGTCCCGGTTTCTGTTTCCAACACGGTTTGTAGATTTGATGTAAAGGTGGCGGTGCAGCTCATCGATCAAAACCAGGTGCAAGTTAATTTTCTTGCTGTGCAGCTCCAAGCGCAGATCACTCAGTCCCTCCACCTGTAACAGCTGCCCTTCCAAAGAGTCCACAGCGGAGACCTGAGAGAGAACACAAAAGAAACACTTGAACTAAAACCTCTCTCTTCAACCGTGGCATTGATCAACACTTTAAATTCTATCTCTCTTCCTTACTTCTCCCTATTATCTGTGAAGCACTTTGATCCGTTCATCTAACATGGAAAGTATTATAATTATACAAGTGGTTAATGGCCAGCTATTTAAAAGCAATGGCAAACAGTACTGAAGGATAAAAATGACTGTACATCAAACTGCATCATGATTCCCTGCATTTCTTATAGAGATCGTTCCTGAACCCATCTATGCCATCAGCTGCTACAGCGCTTTTAGTTGAACCCCAGAACAGCTCAGCTGCTCAATTACATGATGGGAGAAAACCTGTGGAAAACCAAAGCAAAAGAGAAAATCGCATTGGAGTGGACACCGCTTCTCAAAAAGAGTTACAACATTTCAGAGCTTCAGGATTTACTTCTGCAAAGATGCACAATTTCAGGTTTCTTTTGGGCCTCTGCACTTAAATTTGACTTCCTGAATCCCACAATGTATGAAGAATGCTAAAAGGTATCTGACATAGTCATGCCCATGTCAAATTGGCTATTTACCAGTGAAAAAGCAAGTGTACTAAGCATAAGCAACAATGAATAAGAGAAATCTGCAGCCTCTCCAGGCCTTCTACTCAATAGAAAGGATGCTTGGGTGCTTTGAGGGAAGGAACTTTTGAGTCACTACTAACATATCCAAGCGATACTTTTTGTTGAGAATTCTACTGAATTCAAAATAACAAGTTTGAGTTCAGATAATCAGATGGCGCATCAGCCTAAACTATCAGCTCAATGTCCCAAATGTTCTGAAAGGATCAGCTGGAATGCGCTGAACGATATTATTTATCTGAACCTCTCTTGTGATCTCAACTACAAAGAGTCACCGCCATGTCACAAGGCAACCCTGTTATAGTCAGCTTCTTCTTATCATGAATTTGGCTCTAAGGTATAACCCAGTTGCAATATTTACCCAATACATTGCGCATTTATGCAGCTGACCAGATCGTTCACGTTTGCACTAGAATGGCTACCTTCCTGGTCGCGAGGTGGCCACCGACATCACTTTCTGCTCGCTGGCACACGAGCAGCAAACAGAAAGTGTCGTCAGTGGCGATCTGATGACCTGTACATTGACAGCACCTTTCACATCAAAACAGATGTCTCGAAACACTTTACAGAACATTAGAAATGAAGTGAAGTTATTGTACAAGCAAACATTCCAGATTATCTGCACCAGCAACATCCCATAATTAACTTTGAGATGAGCAACCAATTAATTTGAATAGTTGGAAATTAATTCCACACCTAGGAGCAATCCATTTCTAATTCCGACTCGCATCGATCTAATCTAGTGTCAATCAGATGTATAAAGAAAACTGACAGAAATTGAAATGAATTCAAATTACCATGTAGCTAGTCAGAATGAGAAAGACAAATATTGTACCTGTGCATGATTATGGCTTTTCTCTGCAGAATACATCAGAAATGGCATCAATTTTAAAACACTTAATGTATTTTTCCTTCTTCCTGTTTTAATAGGACTTGATACATGCAATGAATACAAAATATAACCTGAACGAGCTTAGAAATCACTCAAAACAATCAAAATTTACCAAACAACAACAATAACTTGCATTTATATAAAAAGCCTTTCGAACAAGAGGGTTTGACAGTGACGGAGCACGACTCCAAGCCGGGGGAACGTGACTGTAGGCATGGTCGAAGACGAAGCTCTTGAAGCGCGGCTTGAAGATGGGGAAGGAGGGGGTAAGGGATTCAAAATTAAATCAAAAATTGAATCAAAAAATAATTAATTTATTTATGAAAAGTAATTAAAAATCACCTTTGTGTAAGACTCATCATGGATTTAATCTGGAAAGTGTTTATTTTCAAAAAGGAAATACTTGTTAATCATTTTACATTTGAATGTTACCTGCTTACCTAATAATCTCAAGAGTATCTGATAACTAAAATAACTATTCTACAAAGCAGAACTACTCTTTATCTTCATCTGAACTTTTAGAAAATCATCTGCTTTGGAGCCCCTTGACAACACGATAGGTTTAAACTAATTTAACGGTACAAGATCATATTATTTTATCAATACTACTTTTTCTTGGTCAGCCAAGTACCTGACACAGGCAGAAAACTATCACTGCTAAATTTGTCCTGTAAATTGCTATGCAGTTACAAATTATCTAAAACATTATTGGCCAGGACATCAGGAGAAACCCTTCTTTAACATGTACCTAATCTGCCAGGAGCATCTCAGATTTCTGACAATACAGTGGTTCCCCGATTACTGCACTGGATTGTCATCTTAAATCCTGACATGGGGGTTGAACCAGCAACCTTCTGACCGAGAGGCGAGAGTCTGAACAACAAAAAAGCTAGTTTTCCTGCAGAAAACAACTGGAAGCAAAACAATAATGAAATATTCATTCAAAAGAATCAATAGATCACAGAGTAATTGTTAAATGCTCATCGAAACACTGCTGCTGGCAGGCATATAGATTTTGAGATAAATATACTTCTTGTTCTGAGGCAAATGGAATGGTGTCCAACTTGTTTGAATCCAGACCTGATTTGTGGGATACCTTTTGGGAACTGTAATACGCCTGAATGAAATGATTCTAAATTCTCCATCTAGCCTGTGTGTCTGAGTTTCAGCACTTTTTTAGGTTCTTTATAGAAGTGTTAGTCTTTCCTTTTTAAAACACTTACACTGAACTTATATCTGACTCTTGTATAGAACATAGAAATTAAGTTACAGGAAACCCAATAATTTTATCAAAATATGTCAATACATATTTTCCATGCGCTCCAGGACTCTACCCTACATGAAGGGTGCTATATAAATGAAAGTTGTTGTTGTATCACTTCCATAATCTGATTAAGTATGTATTTAGTGTTTTTAAATATTTCAATTCTTCCTTTTGTCTATGTTCTTACCTAGACTTCCTGCTTGCCATTTTCATTCCCAAACAAAAACAATTTTCCAGCCCAATCACTTGAATTCTGAAGAGTCATCATACCCAACTTCGAACCTATCTTTCTTATTCAGATGCTAATTAGGCTGTTGCCAATTTGTAGAATTTAATGGGATTTTTTCCATCTCCGCCAATTCAGATCATGTCAGCAATCAGACATTCTGGGTAAGTGTGTATGGGTGGGGAAGCAAAATAAAAATACACATAAACATAGGACATTAAGTTAAAGAAAGCCCAATAATTTTATCAAAAGATGTCAATATATATTTTCCAATCAGCACAGAATCCATAGGCTTACAAGTTGGACTTGGTAATTGTTCCTTCATAATCACATCTTGCATGGCGAGGTAATATTGGTAAGTATCAATAATATGGTTTCTAAGGTGATTTGAATTGGCAGTTCCCATTAAGAAAGACTTTCTGGCCGTTTGCCTAGCATAACTAGCAAATCCCATCTTCAACTTCTGCAAATCCTATTTAAGCACCAGCTGTAAATGTTTTGAAAAGAAAATAAACTTTGTGGCACAGGTTAATATACCAGCTGTATTATACACCAGCAACAATTCTTCCCATCAATCAGAGAACAAACATTCTAGACTGAACTGATAATATTCCCAGCAATTAATGACCTTGTTGTAACACACATTAAGCTAGCTGAAAGTTGCTGAAAGACATCAGATATATACTTTTCTTTAAGGAAATAAAACTATTGTCTTCTTTTCCTCTTTAGCAAAAGGATTTTGTGATCCAAAAATACTTAGAAGTAGAAAATGAAAATACATACATTTTTACAGCATCTTACTGCTAAAATATCTGTATAGTAATTACAATTACACGTATTTTGCATACATCAACAGGCCACAAATAGCCACGACCATTTTATCTGGAGGATTGTTGGCCAGAACAGTGATACAAACTCTCATTTGGTTTCAAATCCATTTGAATAGTCAGACAGTACCAAGATTTAACATCTCAGCCAACTATAGCACCTCCTATAATGTTTAATCATATCTTGAGGCAGTTTCAACATTTATTTACAACACTCAGGAGCATTACAGATCTGCCTAGCCAAAATTTTGGCTCACTGAATCTACCATGGAGAGTTGATTTAGTTTAATTCTCCTTTCATCAGATGGGTGACCTGATGAAAAAAGAGCCACTTTTTTTTTCCTCTAGACTCTGCTTACTTCTACTGAGACATGGAGGTCACATGTGCACAGTTTGTTATCTGAACATCTTGCCTTAAATACCAACAATTAGAACAAATCATTTCTGCAATACATTCCGACACATTATTTTCAGTTCTAGTTAGGAGAACCATCAGCAAAATTCTTCCACTGGAAACTATTGCTGTTTACCATCAGCTTTCAATCCAGTCCATTTAAATCAAGATGGTAGTATATTGATTGGAGTTGTTATGTGACATGTCACCTATTTCAAAGCAAGCACTGTATGTATTTGTATTATAAGGCAATAAATAAGAAGGATTAGCAAGGTGAATTGAAAATTGGCTTGGTTAAAAAAAAAGAAAGTTATGCTAAATGGACAAAGTGCTATTTGAGAGCAGTGAGTAGCAGACTTAACAGAGGTTTGATGAATCTCCCACTGTTTTCAATATTATTAAATAATAATAATCCTTGCATTTGATAAAGCACAGTTGAGACGTCTACAAAGCACTTCACAGAATATACTATAAAGTGAATTGACTGTATATTTTGTGGACTAATGAACTGGAAGAATGCTTTACTATTGACACAAAGGGCATCAAGCTATATATGTGGCTGGTTGACAAAAAGGATGTCCTAAAAACCCTTACTGGTAGGATGGCAATTGCTGAAGAAACAGTGGGAAAGCTTGCCAGATATTGCTTTCAATGGTAAGATATGTGGTTTTAGCTGGGTAAACTCTGCAATCCTGGGCTCTTGCCAGTGCCTAATACTCTACGGAATTAAGTAAGCAGGATGTGCCCAGGGAGGGAGTGATCATTTTG